TGTTATTTTCTTTTAAGAAAATCAATCTTGTGTAGCTTTTTTGTGTAACATTCAAATAATTGCATCCGATGTAAAACTAAGACGTATCATAATCTGTTAAATAGCCTATTTTGCTTTAGACTAAGACGTAATATAATCTGTTAAATAGCCTATTTTGCTTTAGACTAAGACGTAATATAATCTGTTAAATAGCCTATTTTGCTTTAGACTAAGACGTAATATAATCTGTTAAATAGCCTATTTTGCTTTAGACTAAGACGTAATATAATCTGTTAAATAGCCTATTTTGCTTTAGACTAAGACGTAATATAATCTGTTAAATAGCCTATTTTGCTTTAGACTAAGACGTAATATAATCTGTTAAATAGCCTATTTTGCTTTAGACTAAGACGTAATATAATCTGTTAAATAGCCTATTTTGCTTTAGACTAAGACGTAATATAATCTGTTAAATAGCCTATTTTGCTTTAGACTAAGACGTAATATAATCTGTTAAATAGCCTATTTTGCTTTAGACTAAGACGTAATATAATCTGTTAAATAGCCTATTTTGCTTTAGACTAAGACGTAATATAATCTGTTAAATAGCCTATTTTGCTTTAGACTAAGACGTAATATAATCTGTTAAATAGCCTATTTTGCTTTAGACTAAGACGTAATATAATCTGTTAAATAGCCTATTTTGCTTTAGACTAAGACGTAATATAATCTGTTAAATAGCCTATTTTGCTTTAGACTAAGACGTAATATAATCTGTTAAATAGCCTATTTTGCTTTAGACTAAGACGTAATATAAACTGTTAAAGAGCTTCTTTTGCATCACTCACCTTCCCAATTATCTGATCATTATCCTGAAATATCAAGGTAAATTTTATCTCTCCACAACACCATTGTGCGACAGATACCATCCCAATACCTCAAGTTAAAGACCATGATAAAAATATGCTTCAAATATTCCTATAAGACATTTCAGAATGTCCCTTTTTTTTTTTTAAATTTGCTGCATATTGTTTGGAATAATGATAAAAGCAATAAAAAAAACTATTCTTTTTTATATTGGCCTTAATCTTTCAATTGTGTTAACAAAATATTGAATAGATTTGACATGGCTTTATTCTTGATCATGTAGACACCAATTTCTGCTACATCCAAACATGTTTCTGAGTTCTTTCAGGGAGAACTAATCCAGAAATACCAAACGTAAACGCTGCCATTCTTGTGTAATATCTTCACAAGCCTTGAATTTTTTTTCAGATCGGATTTGTTGACAAACACAGATTTAGCCATACAGAACATTTCATCAGGACTGCAATTTTTCAATTTGTGACCATTGTCTCTTCCTTAGGTTGGAACAATTCATCAGGGAAAAAGGCTGAGACAGGTTCACTCCTGCATCCTTTGGAGATTTAATTAGGATATACCAGCGTGCCAGTTATTTGTTATATGGCAGTTCCTCCTCTACCCATTACAAGCTGTCATACTCTGACTTTGTCTGACAATTAAGCCCCTGGAGACGCTATATTTGTCTTATATGTAAACCATTTCTTAGCATTCAAATCTATGGTGTACTCCCCAGTGGTGAAGACATCGATTCTGGTGGTTTAGACTTCCTTACAGACAACCATCAATTCATCTCACTTTTTTTTTTTTATTATTAATCTAGGGTCTGTCTAATCTGATGACAAACGTAACAACATATAAAGGTCATATTGGACGGAATGCTGTAAAACACAGGTCTGATTTGGTAATTTACATGGGAATTTGGTATTTCAACATTATGTTGGATAAGAAAGGATGTCAGATTAATCAGGGGTTGGATTTAACTGGTTTTTCTACACCTATTAACTCATTTAACCCTAAAGTCACATTTGAATCTTACCAATTTAATGACTGGACAAGTCCAGTTTAGACATGTAGGGGTGAATGAGTTAAACTGTCAATTTCGATCATGTCCCTTTTTTGGAAGTTCTCCACAAGAAATGATTAATCGGAAACATTCAAGATTTTTTCCTGCTAAAAATAGATTCTGTACTCCGTGACAAGAAGATCCAGCCAGACAACCGCTATTGATTATATATGAAGGATATTTAGGGACATAAATATTGTCACTGCCTCTAATGAGGTCTCGTTAAGACAGGCTGATGGGGGATACATCAACAATGCCACAAATAAGCCTTCACAGAGGATTAACAAAGGGAGATAACTTCAGACTTCACATTTCCTACATTAACTCATTCACCCCTGAAGACACACTTGAACTCTTCCAATTCAAAGGTTGGACTTATTCATTATAAGATTTCAGGGATGAACCAGTTCAAGCAGACAGAATGACAGGCTACAGATAGCATCAATAGATCTGTATTACTGCCAATAGAAAATTATGTCAGTAGTTGTAAAAGGAATGAATTGTGTTAATGAACAGGAAAGTCATGCGATGTTTAACTATTAAACTAGGGAACAACTTATTACAATTTTTTTAGGATATACAAAATCAAATTTACCTTCAATTTTCCTGTAAAGTATGACCTGTATATTCCCAAAATCAGCATATTTTTTTTCCCTTTTTTTTAAATCCCAGCAAATTCGACAAAAACTTTTCAATGCATGAATTCCCAATTTCGTACAAGTTCTCAATTGAAAATGTAACAGCATCTCAGAAAATGGTCAGAAAAAGTATTAACTTCTGTAATAAAGATTCTATCTGATCATTATAAACACTAGCTCGACTAATTATCAACATCCAAGCACATGACCAAAGTAACATTAGACAATAATTTGTTGACCCATTAGTGTGACAGCTACAGTGTATAAATCTCCTCAATGAGTGGGTCATTACGAACCCAAACAACTTGTGTACCACTGTTTAACCTGGAAACGCAGCTTCCATGACAACCGTTTTCAAGACATCTCGATCATTAGCTGACAGGAGTCCCTGACAAGAGTCGGGAAGATGATCTTAATAACTGCTTCCCTGAACACAGTCCATAAACAAGGCATTAGTGGATGGGGTTGGGTTGATAAAAGGGAGATGTAAATACGTGAAAATTAGAGCGTCTTAGCGTCCTCCATTTTATATGTATTCCACACGAAGAAATGGAGCTCCATGTGCCTACAGTAAAGGTGTCTGACACGCTGCGTTATCAGGCTTTTCTTATGACTTGTAGTCCCACATCGTGTCTATATCGAGGTCTAAAACCTCCCAAAGAATTATCAATTTGTCTCTATAATGTCAATTTGTGTGTTCCAAGTGAAATAAGGAAGCTCACTGAAGCAAGTGTTAAAATCTATCACATCTACAGCTTCAGCATTTTTTAAGGATCCCAGTCGCTGCTCTAATTTACACTGATACTGATGAGGTCATCAGTGGGCTGTTACTGGTCAACTGGTCATCCCTAACGGTCAAACTGTTATCATATCATCATTAAGTTCCCCAAATACCTCTATAAGGTAATGATGCTGCCCGATTATTGCAAAATACATAACTCCATAAAATTCTTTTCTGAAATAATGAAATGAAGACACTGGTTCAATTCAACAGGTGATTATAGGGAAAAGAGAACATTCTAAAAGTTAAACCTCTTTTGAAAATACACAGGCTGTATTTATTTGTATCAATCTCAGATCAACTTAAATGATAGGAAAAATCTGAATTGCTGACATTTCTTTACTCATTCACCCCTGACATGTTATAATGAACTATTCCAACCTTTGAATTGGAAGAGTTCAAATGTGTCTTCAGGGATGAATGAGTTGATATCCTTGAAAACAAGACAATCCAAAATAGAAGTTGTGTATTTCTGCCATAGCATATTAACCCGTTCTTTGAGTCACATATATTTAATCAAGGACATCTGTACATAAGGGATACCTATTTATAAAGGACATCTCTCTATAAAGGGCATCTGTACATAAAGGACATCTCTATAAAGGACATCTCTATAAAGGACATCTCTCTATAAAGGACATCTGGATATAAAGGACATCTCTCTATAAAGGACATCCCTCTATAATGGACATCTGAACATCTGTATATAAAGGATACCTATTTATAAAGGACATCTGTATATAAATGATACCTATTTATAAAGGACATCTCTCTATAAAGAACATCCCTCTATAAAGAACATCCCTCTATAAAGGACATCTGTACATACAAGTCATCTCTATATATGACACCTGTATATAAGGACATCTGTCGATAATGAACATTGTATACAAAGGTCATCTGTAAATATATAGGACACCTGTCTACACTGAACACCTGTACATAATGGACATCTGTATGTATTAAGATACGTATGATCAAAATAAAATAAAAGAATGTACATTTATATATATATATATGCTAACAAATGAATAGATTTTACATTGATTTGAATAATCTGTTTTCTACAATTTCATATGATTGTGTGTCTACGACTATAAATTTCTAAATTAGCTTATTAGTTACTGTTGTTCTGAAACAATTGACACATAGAGGTCTTTGAACTAATTCTTCTGTGTTTTGGTTTTATGGGTTCGTGTGTTGTGAAGGAAGTCACAAAACTGCCCGAGTTACGATTACCTACATATGTTATGGAGTCAATAGCTGGCCGACAATGTTAGCCATATACCACTCCAGAAGAGGTAACAAGTTTTCTGTGGCTTCTGTGTACTTTGTAGACTCATCTCAAATTTCCCTGCCCACTAACGATTTGTTGACTTTCTCTTTCCCATTCATTGTTTTCTCCACCATGATTTGTCATTCTACTTTCGTTTCTGGCGTGATATGGAGAGTGCACAAAGGGCTTTAACTTGTTCAAATTTTGGATTTTAATGTATTACAATATCAATATTATCCTGCATAGAATCACGGGTCTGATACAAAACAAAACAAAACATAATTATCACCTTCTTGTTCAATTAAAACCCACAGAATTTTGTACCAGGTACTAAGATGTACTAATTAGAGACAAATAGATGTATCAGGATGTGCTACGATACACAGGATTTGTACTCACCAAGTAATCATTGTACGCAGGAAGTTGGTTGTCGGTATCCGTATGATTAGGGATATCTTTGATTTGGTTGTCTCCCACAGACGGGAAGTTGACGTTTTTTGTAGGGATGGGCTGAGGATATGTATCTTTAGATGCATTGTGAGTAAGGAAACCACCATCGCTGTAAAAAAACCAAATATAAAACTTTGAAAAAAATAGATGGTAAGAAATATTTAAACAATTAACAAGTTAACAATCAAAATTTAACAACAATGTAGCAATGCTAACAACTTTGATGTGTAGTGATTGCATCATAATCAATTTTGGCAGGAAATAGCTAAAATAAGAACATTTAAATAGTTTATTTACAGAAAACAGACTGTTTATATCTACAATAAATGGAAACAGACATGCAAAAAAAGAAAAAGAAATATTTAATTATGTTGTGGTATAATCAGCTATTCAAAATTTAATGACATTTTCATTAATAATGAAATTTGAAACTAAAAATCCTGGATCACCTGAAAACGGGAAAAATTGTCCAAGATATGCACATTATCATCTGTAAACCAAAAAATAATTTAAATTAAAAAATGTTCGTTAAAGAAAGGAGGCAAAAAAGAAAATTTAAACACCTTGGCCCAAAACTGAAAATAAAAAAATCCCCCCAAAAAATCAAGGTGGAGGTTGAAGATAATACCCATCAGTCTCCGACTGTTGACATCGCATACAACGTAAAATCTGTACAATGTTGACACGGGGCACGGCGTCCAGGTACTGGCCGATCAGATGGAAGTACCGTTTATCCATTGTTACATAGAACTCACACAGAAATACGGAACCAAAATTCAGTGTCTCCGTAATGAACAATCATCACATGTCATAAAAAAAAAAAATATATTAAAGAATTATTAATCACAGATAAAGATTGGTTAATTTCCTACTGTACAATTTCCTCATCCAATCCAATCATTTTCACAGGAATAATTTCCTCGTTTTCTATACATAAACAAGTAACCCCCACGGTTCCCAAGTACAGATGGTGGTTCTCGTACAGCAATGCAATATCCTGTCTCCGTGGCAACATCAAACGAAGCATGTGAAATGTCAAAATTCATCTATAATACCATCACAGTGTAACTTGTCTTGTGACAAGATTACAAAAACGGTAAATACTTGGGACACACCATCTGTTGATTGATCCAGCAAAAAAAAAACACAAACCCCCCCCCACATATATCCGATTCAGAATCAGCTACTCTCGTCGTGAACAACTGTGATATACACAAACTCTACACTTCAGGATCATTATTATAAACGGTGTTCCTTTTTTCTCCTCAAGTGAACACAATCCTGTTACACAGAACACATCGAAAATCAATATCACCTCCTCAACATTTTGCAATTCACAGCTTCAGTGTTAATTTCGAAATTGTCTCTCCTCAATTTATCAGTATTAAAGTGTTTTTTAACAGAATTTCAAATCTATCGGTGTTCTAACAGAATGGTGCGCGCTGTCTCCTGTTGCTTCCCCTATAGAATCCAAATAGCTTTCAAATCAGAGTGATAGCGATAAAAGCCCAGAGCAGTATCTTCAGTCTCCAAAATGGCACCGACTCGGTGATAAAAAAGTATTCAATGAAGATAAATGTTAAATATGTCTTCCATGTATGCTAGACTATAAATGGAAAACCCTACAGTGACTATATGGATATGCATTACTAGTGGCTAGGATGAGAGAAAGCTGCTACATATGACATCATTCTCCCACTGTCTGCTCAGCAAATATCTCGCCCGCCCTTCGCCATCTATGATGGAGCGACTCCGGTACATCTCAACGTCCCCCATCAGAGCCTACATATACCGCACAAACCCTGAGACAGCCTACACGAACGTCAAGCCCTCGTGACTTGTCCGTTCTCTATACTAATAATGTCTGTCTTTCCCGATTCTCACAGGCCCCTGTATTTTCATTACACCGAATGTTTATTTCAAAGACGGAGGCGGAGAGATTATCAAACATGTATCCAGAATCTTCAATGATCTGGAGTTGATCCCATCCCGTGAAAAAAAACCTATTGTTATACAGGGTAATGCATTAGGTAAAATAGTGAGTGTTTTGATCAATACTTTGGTAGTGGGAGGCAGTACTGAGGATACGGATCACGTTAAACCAGCACTGTACAGTGACGGAGCCAATATCACTCACTAGAGGTCGCCACCATCACAACAAAACAGTTTTAATCCTCTAGTGTGTTTGTAATTTCAATACACACTGATTAATCATTCCAATTGTGTTACACTTGGCTACGCTATGTACAAAAGACCTGTGGAACATGTTTGACGTTTCCTGAAATGCCATCAATATCCGCACTATTGACCCGACCAATCAGCTATACTGTTCTAATCAATATTGACAAAGCTATAGCTTGTCCTATCATCTCAATATAGAACCCAATACAAATCTTTTATTTTTTATAAAGGTATTAAAACAGTCTATTTCTCCGTCAACTACACAGCTTCCATCTCAGTGCCAGGGGAAGCTGTAAGATAGGAACCACTCCAGAAATGACTAGCTAACACCAACTGGAAATGAATCGGCTTGCGTAATGGAAAGTTAATAATTTTGAAATTGAATATCACACCCAGGATATACCACGGATCCAAAAGCATCACCGTTTATGGAATATAACAAGGAAGTAATCGGATCGGCCCACACAATTAAATTAATTTATCAGGATTGGCAAATATATGGAAATGGCTTCCAGATGAGGAAGGGGTATCAGTTGATGGCAGGTCCTGGTCGGACACAGCCATTTTACCCTCCAGGAGAATTCTCCAAACTATCAACCCAACCAGCCCAAGACAGCTAGTTCTTCCAGGAACTATCCCCTTTGAATATTTATTGGGCTACAACTGTTACCAGTTTCCTGAAAATATATACATTCCATCAATGAGATTGTCTTATCTTTAGCATAATTCCCAGACATTCCCTTTTCTTGATTGATAAGCTTATACATAATACATACAGAACTCCTTTCCTAATACATGATATAATGTATAAAACTTGAAAATTCAGTAAATTGTTTTCATCAAATTAACTGAAATTTTAATTGAATTAACATAATTTAACTATGTCTAAAGCCAATATAATATATACAAGTCCAACGGAGAATATTCAATAAATTTGTTTTAAAGTTTGATCAAGTTACACTGAAATATTGATACATGTAATGTTACAGTTGACTCCAGAGTCCAGGTTAGGCCGTTCATACTGGTAGATCAAGCTACATGTACTGGTTATATTTTAAGCTAACACTGATAATTTGTGAGCTAAATAGCAGAAGTAAAATGATATTCTACTGTTTATACAAGAGAATTGATCTTTTTTGCTAAAATTACTTTATGAATACAAGTACTGCTGCACTCTTGAGGACTAGAGGACGAGGCTTTCCTTTGGGGTTGGGGTAAATGGTGCCTTGGCTACACAGAACACTCGTAAATGGTGCCCTTGGCTACACAGAACACTCGTAAATGGTGCCCTTAATTATCTACACAGAACACTCGTAAATGGTGCCCTTGGCTACACAGAACACTCGTAAATGGTGCCCTTGGCTACACAGAACACTAACTCTTTAAGACTATAGGTGACATTGTTTGTGACTGCACCACAAACCATCAAGTCATTGTCGCAGTCATCATTGGTTTGTAGTCTATCTTTAAGTGATTGGCTCCAACGTCAGCCACTGGATATCAAAAGGCTGTTTCTACCCTCCAGCCACGTCAGACTTTGAATATTGACCAATGTCTATTTTGATTTCTCATTTAAACATGTAAACGTCCCTCAGGTGGCTGTTGACCTAATAAATTGCTCGTTAGTCAGTCTACCAGGTACCTAAGTACAGGTAAACATCATTTGTATCGTAAATCCCATTGTTTGGCTACAATCAACACACCAGTCCTGTATTGATCATCAGAGATATTGACATCATTTTAACAAGACATTTAACTTGTTCTATGTCAATATGTTTTACTGCGATGATCAATAGTGCCTACTTTAACATATATATTTAAAGAAAAGATAGTTTTATGTTCATACTAGTTTAAATAAGCCCTAATATAAGATCAATAATTAAAGAAACACAATTTCCTGTCTTATTATTAATAATTAAGTATCATTACACAAATTTTGCCTCCATTTACTCAATAAATATTTAATGTTCAGTTCTGTATAAAGAAACAGTTTTACTCTCATTTATTAAATTGGTCTTAGTCATTAAAGGAAGACAACTTCAAACGGGAATCACTACCATAAGTGTCTATATAAACATAATTCTAATTACATTTTCTTATCAAATATTTGATGGTTTGTACCTAAGGGGAGACAACTCCCACTGACATTTACTACCAGTCATACATGAATTTGTCTATTCATCAAAATTGACAATCAACAATTTCCACATCTATATACCGTTATAAAGACGTAACAATTCCAAGGACACCATCTTAGGATCATTGTCTAACCGCAGATACAGGTAAATCTTGTTCTTTACAACTGGTGTCAGCATCGCGGTGAATACAAAACTAAACCAAAATTGTTGAAGTCAAATAAAGCATTTAGACCCTTAAAATAATTTAGTTGCCGCATGCTGGAATATTTCGCCAGTCAGTCAGCTGTCTCCAAAGTGTTAAGACCACTAAGGTCCACAGATCTTCTATGTATTATATCTATATAACTATACGGTTGACATTTGTAAATGCGCTGACCTTCAGTGACCAAGGAAAAATCTAACTTCCGAGGGTTTAACCTGCAATATTTCCAAGTAGAACACGTCAAAAATAATTCACAAGAAAACATTAGCCTTGAAAACTACTTGAGAACATAAAACATTTTCGAGAGTTTGGGTAAATTTCTATAAAAGTCTGATGTTGAATTTTATCATAAACACATTTACACGTTGTGACCTTCAAGAAGGTAATATTGATTTGACAAAAATGTTCTTGTCAACAAAATCTGAAAAAGCTTACATCAATAGTTTCTGTATATATCATTAAAATTTCAATAAGACATTTAAATTTCAACAAATATTTGAAGTATTTTAAACATTTTAACACCAAGACTGGGTGGAAAATTTCTTAAAAATGTCAGATCAAAGAGATGACATGGACTCATTTCTGGCG